AATAAATAATTTAAATCATTTAAGAGATGATATATATCGATAACTATTAAATTGGTAATATTGTCGATTTAGATCAAATGTCGTAATTGTATATATATATATATTCATAGTTGATTCGACGTATTGTTAAAGATGTTCTAACAATAAATAATTAAATCAAAATAGACGAGAAGATATCTATGATCTTTAGATTGGTAATCGTTTCGATTTAGGTTACATATGGTGAGTATATATATGAGTATATTCCATGGTTGATTCAATGATTATAAAAATAGTTATAAGTGCTATGAGGAATATTAAAATAGATTGAAAAATGATTGATTTGTTAGCGACAAGGACGACTTATTTGTTCAACAGTTGAGAACGAAATAAATGCCATTGGCAAACTAACACAAAACATATCTCATCTCACCTGTCTTTTTCGCTCATTGCGAAAACACGCGAAAACATATTATTAATAATCAACCCCTAACATTCTATTCTATTTGTTGCAAATTGTTACATAAATCTAAGTCAAATAAAATTAGTATGAATTTAATAACAAATTGTTGTGTTCTTCTATATAATATAATATATCTTCTTAGTTGAACTAGTAAAGTTGTTCTTGTTTTTTTTTCTTTTCTTTTCTTTTCGTCGTATTTTAATGCAAATGCGAAACATACTTACTTACGTACGTATTTTCCATCCAAATAGTTTCAAACTATTTCCTCATCGATTTTGTTTAATACTTCCTCATCGATATTATTATATATGTTATCGCAAATATATGTTTCGGTTTTGTTCAATATTTTCTTTTTTCCTGATGATTTCAATCGACTGTTTCGGTGATTGGTTGACCAGAGAGAGAGAGAGAGGAAAGGTGGTGAATTTTTGTTGGCATCCAAATTTTCTGATTGAAAACGCTTCAACCAAATTTCTACCGCGTTTGCACTAATATTGCATCATATCCATAAACATCAGCAATTTTATTTTTACTCTTTCGTTATATATATATATATATATATATATANTCTTTTTGCGTAGAATATATTTTTCACGTACTAGTATAAATATTATAACAAAATCAATGAAATATAATATTTCTAGCTTGGGGAGAAAAAGAAAGAACAAAAAGAACAAAAAGAAATGGTATGTATCACGGGTAAAAAAATATAAAACAAAAAAAAGAAAAAAAGGAAAAAAAAAAGTAAAATAAAGAAAAACAAATTGGTGTAAATGAAAGCAACGAGAGAGAAAAACATTGGTTTGCGTTTCCTCTAAAACTTGAAAATACGAATTTGTTTGTTCATTTGCTAGATGGATATCGATCAAAATTATTTATAGAAAAAAAAAAAAAACAGAAAATATGGTACGAATAAAAATACATGTACAAATATTTCGAGATCGATCACGTACGAGTGATCACACACTCACATACCGCTCGCATACAAACGCGAGTTAGACGAATGTAAAATGAATCAAATCCCAGGAGTATTCGTACACCAACTGTCAATTAAAAACAATTATTATTTTCTTATAATACAATTGTTAACAATTCTTATATAGATAAATAAAAAAAACGTATTTTAGGATTATTAAACATTATCAATTCATATAAAATTTCATTGCGAATAAGTAAACATATATATATATATATAATAATAAGAGAAATAATTTAATAATCTTAATATATATATAATAATTTTCTAAAATATTATAGTATGATTATTTTATATATTAGTTAAATTGAAATAAAAAAAAAAATAATATTTAAATATAATATATTGTATTGTATATAAAATAATATAAATAATTGAAAATTCTCTAATATAGGAAGAATATGTACGAATATTATTATTCCTGCAACTAACTGTACACGTATACTTCTCTCACGTGCGTTACGTCATATCTACATCGTTCAATGCAAATTTTACTGCACAAAACCCGGTCAACCGCGGCCACCTTGTATGCATACTAGCTACCAGAGAACAACCTACCATATATATCTACCATATGTGCATATAACTACTATACATACATTTATACGCACGTTTATATATATATATATATATATATGTGTATGTGGTTTGGATTACGTTCGCCATTGCAAGCATGATCGATTCTTCCGCACGAGATGTTTTTTACGAAAAGGTTATTTCTCAATGCAAAGACACGCGAGTTCGATTCACCCAACCCCCACCCCCATCAACCCCATCCCCCTACTATGTTACGTTCTTTTTTTTCTTCTTCTTCTTCTTCTTCTTTACTTAAAAGTCAGAAAACGACTTTAGAAAATTCCGAAATCAAGAATTTGCCTGACAAAACATTTCAAAGTTTTCCTATGCACCTGCAGCAAGTTGCTACTCGGTACATACTTTTACTATATTCAGGTTTGAATTTTACTTTGTGTTTGACTTTCCCTTCTCTCTCTCTCTCTCTCTCTCTCTCTTTCTCTCTCCGAGATAATTTCTTATATTACGAATAGACTTTAATAAGTTATACAGATAAAAATGTCATCCAGATTTCGTAGGATTGTATTATATTAATCATATGAGTAACATTAGAGACGCGTAAGCTGGGATTTCAGTTTTTATGGTGGGAAAAAAAGGGTCGCGTCGTTTTTTATTTCTTACCCACTGTTGGACAGCGATACCAAAAAAAAAGAAGAGAATAAAAAAAAATAAAATAAAATAAAAAAGGGGTAGGTAGGTAGGTAGACGTGAATGATATAAATAGGCAGGGGGTAAGCTGAACAAGGTGTAGTAATTTAAAATGAAAAAAAGTGTAGTCGTAAATGGTGTAATAACATTTTATTAATGTGTCACGTATTATTATGTTTTATTTTAAATGAGTGAACAAAAGGAAGAAAAAAAAAACAAAGAAAAAAGAAAAAGAAAAATACAAGTGATTAATTTAAAAAATATTTCATGGAAATTAAAAAAATGGTTAAAAGGTATAGTGTATATATAACGTAAAATAATACAACGTAATATGTTTATCGAAATCTGTGTGATTAATGAGATAAAAATAATTGTGCAAACAAATTGTCGATAAGTTTAATATTAAAATTGAGTTACCTGATGGAAGTAACAAATAGAAGGTGAACGAGAAGGGAGGTAGATAGGGATAGGGGTGGAGGGTTGAGGGTGAGGGTGGTAGAAGAGTAGTAGGAGGAAAAGGAGGAACAATAGGAGGGACTCGTGGTGGCGTAGTAATAGAATGGTAAATACTTGATTAACGCGTTAGTACACCCTAGTGACCGTTGCTTCAGGAGTCTGAGTAAGAGAGAGAGAGAGAGAGAGAGAACAAGATAAATAGATATTAGATTGGCCAATGAGTAATGTCGAATTTTTCCCTAATTGTAATTGTTATTTTTTATCAAATAAAACTCACACAAGATTTATTGAAAATATTCAAAAATGAATAATATTTATTTGAAACCTCAATAGAGTTATGGTAGATTTTATTAACGCAAAGAAAGGGTTAATAAATTATATTATTAAATGTTATTATAGTTAAGAAAATTTATTTTATGGATATAACCATAATAAATATATTATTATCTAATAATTTATTTTCTATCATTTCTCTCAAAACTTTATATTTTAAAAAAAGAAAAATG